AGAACTGGGGGGCACTGGGTAGCACTGAGGGAGCATTTTCCGCAGGGCGACAGGCTCCCCCTCCTGCGGCCACGCCCGAAGCAGCGGGTTCCCAGTTGATCGGAGGGCGGGAGGGCTGCGGACCGCGGTGCGGACCGCGACGCGGACCCCGGAGGGACGCCGGCCCTTACCTCGCGCGTCCCGCTTCATCAGCAGCGCGTGGCCCAGCAGCGGGTAAGCGCGGGCCACCGTGGGGATGGGCTGCATCTGCCGCCACTTCCGCGCGTAGCTCGCCGCCCACCGAAGCAGGTTCAGGACCAGGCTGGCGCCGGCCAGGGACGCCACGCTCGCCGCGCCCCACAGCAGCAGCTCCTGCCCCTCCAGCCCCAGCCAGAGCCCCGTCATCGCCCGGGTCCCCGGAACGACGTTCCCAGCCTGCGCCGCGGCCAGGGAGGCAGCCCCGGGGCTGTAGCTGCGCCCGGCCCGGCCCTCGCAGCGCCGCGGCCTCCGCCTCCGCGCCAGCCGAAAGCGAAACACCGGAAAACGGCTCCTGAGCCCCGGGGCGTCGTGATCGCGCGGGACCCCGAGGCCGGGCGGGGAAGAGGCCGGCGACACTTCGGGCCGCCTCCGGAGGGGGCGGGGGCGTCGGAACGGTCACCGCGGCGGGGCTGGTCTGCGGGTCCTGCGAGGCCGCTCCGGGGTGCGGGATTCGGGGTGCGGGATTCCGGGGTGCGGGCGGGCGGGCAGCCTGCTCCGAAGGGGAAAGGACGGCGCCTCCGGCTCGGAGCCCAGCTCTTCCGCGCGCCGCGCGCTCCCTGCCCGACTGCAGCCCCGGGAGGCGGGGCGCGAACTGACTCCCCGCGGGGTCACTGGGAGCAGCGGCCGCTGTGATCCAGGGTGGCCTTGGGAACACAGCCTCAGGGAAGTCACCCCTCGTGTGTGTCCTCGGGGCCACTGGGCCTTCAGAAGCGAAATGAGTGATTGTGAGCCACATATTTCCCAAAATGTGCGCCAGACCCGGGAGGCCAGAGCCCCGGAGAACACGCAGGGCGGACGGGAGGGGAAGGCGGGGAAGGCTGCTCGGGAGTCCCCGCGGGGGACTAGCAGAAGAGCCAAGACCAGCCACCGAGCCCCGGAAGGGCGGGAAGGACCCCGAGATTTCTGCCCGGGGAGACGCGTGTCCTGACCGCCGGTCTCTCTTCCCGGCCGAGGGCCAGGGCGCCGACCCCAGCCCCTTTTCCACGCTCGGTGCTTCCTACAAAGTGGCCGGGCCAGGGGTGGCCGGGTCCTTCCCAAGCCCTAAAGTGCCAGAAGATGAAATAGAAGAATGGCCTGAATGCCCGCTTTGCTCAATTACCCCGTCCCTTTACTGGAAGCCACTGTACAGGTTGCCCACAGCCACCCTCAGGGCTCTTCACTGTAGAGAAAAACGCCCACGGCTTTTCTCCGGGTGGATCTGTTTTCAGTCACCTGCAGGTGCTGACGTGGAAAGCAGTGCACGAAACAGTCAATGAACAAAACAAAACAAGCTGCAGAATGCAGCGTATAAAATGATGCCTTCTCTGGGAGAAGCTCTAATGTCTGGAAATAAAAATACTAATCAGCCCCATGGAGTGGGAACGAAGATGGAGAACTTCCGCTTTTTATTTCTACATTGTTTAATTACTTCAACACTAAAAAAATAAGCCTGTAAGCCCAGCACTTTGGGAGGCTGAGGCTGGTGGATCACGAGGTCAAGAGATCGAGACCATCCTGGTCAACATGGTGAAACCCCGTCTCTACTAAAAATACAAAAAATTAGCTGGGCATGGTGGCGCGTGCCTGTAATCCCAGCTACTCAGGAGGCTGAGGCAGGAGAATTGCCTGAACCCAGGAGGTGGAGGTTGCGGTGAGCCGAGATCACACCACTGTACTCCAGCCTGGGTAACAAGAGCGAAACTCCTTCTCAAAAAAAATAAATAAAATAAAATAAAATAAATATCTTCACTTAATATCTTTAAGCATGTCTCATGGGCTTTAGTTTCGTCCTCTCTAAAGGGCTGAGGCTGAACAATATAATAAGGTCAATTACAACTATAAAAGTAAACAATTTGTCTACATCACATTGGAGATTCCGAAATGGAAGGAAGAGGAGGAAGGGTTGAAAAATTGTGTATTGGGTACTATGTTCAGTATTTGGGTGAGGGGATCAACCTCAACATCAGGCAGTATAGCCATTTAACAAACCTGCGCATGTGCTCCTGAATCTAAAATTAGAAAGAAAAAAAGGTTTGTCTGTATCCGTCTCTGCTAACCTCTGTGGACAAAACAAGGCGGGTACCATACAACCCCTCCCGTCCAGAAGCAGAGAGGGAAGATTGCTCTAAGCAGCAGCGAGTCTGGGCCTGGGCAGAAATGGTCAGAAATGCTGCAGAGCCAGGAGGGGTAAAATGAGCTCCAGAGGCAGTGAGGGGCCTCTGCTGGAAGCACAGGGTCCCGCGCAGTGACACCTGCGGGATGAGATGGGGGGGTAGGGTGGAGCCAGCTTAGAGACCTGGACTGCCAGGCTTAGACACTTTGCCTTTATTTTGAAGGCAATCTGTGGTGAAGAACAAAATAAAAGCCTTGTCCCTTTGTCCCCTTAGTCATCTTTCTCATGCTTTGTTACCAGATAGGGCCTTCCTCATACTGCCTTGGAATGCTGAAATTTCAGACGAAACCAGTCAGGTGGCTGGGAGTGCAAGAAATACATGGCAGGACCCTTCTCCCCTGACAGCCTCATAACACCAGAGTACACAGTGTCACACCTTAGAATGTTCACCGCGAAATGTAATGGAGCTCAGCGTAGCAGACGATTGCAAGACCAACGTAAAGCCAGTCTACCCACAACATTTATCACCCTGGGGCTGTCAGCTTCATGAGCTAATGCAGCTGAGCAGGAAGGCATCTCCTGACTTTTCCTCCTCAAGATTCATCCTCTATAAAGCCCTCCCCACTTGAAAGAGCTTTCTTTGGTCAAGGTCTTTATTTGATCCTCTCTCCTCTTAGAAAACAGTGCTTTTGAAAGTCATGGGCCAGAATATATAATAAACTACAGAATGGTCTTGTAAATGTTAATATTTTTATTTCCCAAATTTTTTGTCACTAGGAATGATTTCTAATACAAAAAGATACTTAATTTACATTATATAAATTCATGACTGAGTATAGAAGTACGTTATCTGCAAACTACATTTACATCAAATCATAAAGGGTACCAGGAAATTGTTAGGAAATTTTGAATCACAAGTACCAGGATCAAATAAAGTACACAACACTCAAATGTACAGTTTCATGGACAAACATCTAACTTCCATGTAACCACAACCCAAATCATACAACACAATGTGAAATCATATAGCATGCATTCTTTCGTAACTGGCTTCTAAAACTCAACAGTGAGTTTAGATGAATTTGAAACACAAGTTAGATAACTTATAGCAAGAAATATCAAGACATAAATTAATTAAAATCATGTTATTGGCACAAAAATAGGCAAACAGCAATAGAACAGATCATACATATGTGTACAATCACCCGATTTATGACAATCTATATTAACTCTATTGCCATGTGTAATATTTTCCTATATTTTTCACAGCTGTATATTATTCTATTGTTTGACTATAATTTATCCTTCATTTTACTGCCAATGGATGTTTCAGTTGTTTCCAATTTTCCTATGTTGTGAAGAATTTTGTATGGTCACTGTTGTAGATGTCTTTCAATACACATTGTACATATTTCTTCTTCCTGTAACTACACCTAGGAGTGGAATTGCTAGGTCATAAGGCAAGCATCGGTTTAGACTTAGTACTTACTGCCAGTTTTCCAAATTTGTACCAATTTACACACTCATGAGTAATCTTTGATAGTTCCAGTGGCTCCATGTACTTGCCAACGTTTGATATTGTCTTTTTTTCACAAAGCCATTCAGTTAGGTCTTGTAAAACTATATTGAGATTTGTTTGTTTGTTTTTGTGAAACAGGATCTCACTCTCTCACCCAGACAGGAGTGCAGTGGCATGATCTCGGCTCACTGCAGCCTTGACTTCCAGGGCTCCAGCAATCCTTCTCCTTCAGCCCTCTGAGTAGCTGGGACTAGAGGCACATGCCACCATGCCAAGCTAATTTTTTTTTTTTTTTTTTTTTTGGGACAGAGTTTCGCTCTTGTTACCCAGGCTGGAGTGCAATGGCACGATCTCGGCTCACCGCAACCCCCGCCTCCTGGGTTCAGGCAATTCTCCTGCCTCAGCCTCCCGAGTAGCTGGGACTACAGGCACACGCCACCATGCCCAGCTAATTTTTTGTAGTTTTAGTAGAGACGGGGTTTCACCATGTTGACCAGGATGGTCTCGATCTCTTGACCTCGTGATCCACCCGCCTCGGCCTCCCAAAGTGCTGGGATTACAGGCTTGAGCCACCGCGCCCGGCCGCCAAGCTAATTTTTGTATTTTTAGTAGAGACAGGGTTTCATCATGTTGCCCAGGCTTAGCATTCAAATTTTAATATGCATTTTCCTAATGACCTAGGACAGTATGCATCATTTCACAAGCTTATTGGCCATTTCGGAGAGTGCCTGTTAAATCATTTTCCCATGTTCAACATTGCAATTGTCTGGAATTTTAGTGATTTGTAGGACTTATAAATAAGTAATGAGCAATTATTATATAATAAATTATATATGAATACAAATCCTTTGCCAGATACCTAGAGCAAGTTCCTTCCTCTCTGTAGCTTGCCTTATCACTCTGTTAATGATGCTGTCATAGTTCACTTTGTGCTGCTTTAACCAAATATCCCAGACTGGTATGGTTCTGGAGGCTGGGAAGTCCAAGACAGAGGAGCTTCTGCTGATGAGGGCCTTCTGCTGTATCATGCCATGGCAGAAGATGAAAGGGTGCAAGAGTAAGTGAGAGAGGGCGAGAGGAAGGAGGCCAAATTCATCCTTTAATTAGGAACCCAGTCCTGCCATAGTGGATTAATGCTACTGTCGTGGATTCCTGCCAGAAGGAATCCACTCACACGACAGTAGCATCAATGCATTTGTGAGGGCAGAGCCCTCAAGGCCTAACCACCTCTTAACGGTCCCGCCTCTCAGTACTTGCACTGGGGATTAGTTTCCAACACATGAACTCTGGGGACACAGTCAAACCATAGCTGATGTATTTGAATAAGTAGGAATGTTTTAAAGTTTAACAAAGTCCAATTTATTGATCTTTTTCATTGCAGTTAATGTTTTATGCATCTTGTTTAGAAAATCTTTGCCTACCATAGGGTAAAAAAGATATTCTCTTATATTAACTTCTAAAGCTTCATAATCTTCCCTTTCTAATTTAGGTCCAAGAACCTGCACCTGTAATGTGTTTGTGTATGTATATGGTAGTGAAGTAGAGATTGACACCCTTCTAAATAAAAATATGAATATCAAATGGACTCAATAAAATTTAATGAAAAGACCATCCTTTAATCAATGCATTGGAATGTC